TCTTCCGGTTCCCCTGAAGGACTTCCTTTGGGAAGAGCTTTAAGACTTTTTGTTGCTCAGCGAAGACCATGTCAACCATCCCTACGTTATGGACCTTTGTGCTGCAAAAGGTGTCTTTTTCTGCCTTCTCTTGTCCATATCCAGGACTCCCAGGACCTTTGTTTCAAACCCTGCAGGATTTCCATGCGAGTGTGCTCATCTCTCCTTCTGGCATGGTCCTCCGACTGGATGGGATGATTGGGAGCTTGTGTGCTCGTCTCCCTTTCTGGGATTATCCTCCCATTGGATGGGTTGATTGCATTTGTTGCCACTGCAGTTCTTATAAAATCCTCCCTTCCTCTGCCCTGGTGGGGAATGATCCCATCTTGCAGAAAAAAGTGTCATGGTCAGCCATCTCGTCCTGGATTCTGTTTGCGGCTGCCAGGCCTTGCTTTAAAAGTTCCCAGAGAAAAAACTCATTTCCATTCCTTTACCTGGAATGACACTGATAAGACATGTTATCCAGCCACCAGTGTGTCCAGCATCTATTCATTCTGGTGTCTTTTAAATAGTGAAAGCTTCATCTTTCTCCCCTTGAGCACATCACTGCATCTACACCCCCTGTCTGGGAGTTCTGTCAGTCTCACATCTGTTTTATACCTCAAAGTGGTGGGTACTTTGTTTCCTATGACCATCCCCCAGCCCCTGAGTGACAAAGGCCATCATCTCTTGCATCTTAAATGTCCACCCTCCCTTGTCCTTCAAGGCCTCAGTAGAATCCTTGAGTTCATTGGATCCATTCCCCAAATCCCAGTTGGTTATTTGGAATCCAGTACCCAGTCATGAATGCTTTTTAACCACTGCCCTGAACAGGATATCGTGGTCCCACCCCTGACTTAATCTGCTGCATTGTGCGAGGACAGAAGGAGCTCTGGGTCTGTGATGATGAGGACCGTGAGGACATCTCAAAGTCCAAGGACCTGCTGCCAGGTGAGTTGTGGCTGTCCCCTCCCCCAAGTCCCCTCTCAGAAATGCTCCATCCCCACAGTGACGGGGCCGGGAACCGCAGACCTGCCCGGCGCTGCCCTTCCTGGTTTCTGACCTTGAATAGCTTATGCAGTCGTGTGTCCTGGGAGGTGTTGTTCCCACGCACTGAAACTCCAAGGTGTGGAGACGAGCAGCCTTTCCCTTCTCCTCCTCCTAACTACAACTGCTAGGGGACAACCAGGTATACTGTTCTGGTGACATGCAGGCCACCTGGGTCTCAGGAGCAGAGGACATTCTCATACACCCATTCCAGTCTCCAGATCTTTCCCTGGAGACAGGAAGGAGACACAGCTTTGTTCCTTCCAGGAAAGAGACCCCTAGCTCTAAATCCTCCCCTCCCAGAGCAGGTTTGGAGGCAGGAGGGACAAACTACATGGGCTTTTTCCACCAAGGAGAAGCAGCTGGTCCAGTGTAAAGCCATTTTCTCCACACAACCCTGACTGCTGGTGAGCCCCAGAAATTCACTGTGAGGCTATCCATCCTGGTACCAGATGCTGGTCTCAGGGCTGCCAGAGACCATGGGCAAACAATGGAGAGCAGTCCCACCAATGCACTTTGGCTTCCAGAGCATGTCAACCTAGCCAGGTGGAGGGTTCAGCATCATCTCCCCGTGGACCCGCTAGTGCTGTGGAACAGAGCAGCCCTTAGAGAGAATCCTTCTTCCTTTCTGCTGGTCCTGCCTCTAGTGTCCAGGGGTCCTTAGGGCAAGAAGTCATCTAGGTCCTATCCTAATATGTCCCATGTGGGTTTCTCACTGCAGGATCTGAGGGGATGCAGTGACAGCTGGGCCAGAAACCCTGAGGGTCTGGTTCTCACCTCCACTGAGCAGGGAACATTAACCTGGCACAGAGATGTGCCCCTCCCTCACACCCAGCACTTGTGGTTTGGCAGGAAGACCTTGTTCTCTTCAGAAAACTTAAGTGCCAAGGTGCAGTCATGCTCTAATGCCCATCGCAGCAATATTTGGCCTGTGGCAGCAGGGCAGGGAATAAGCTGGAATTTCTCTTCCCCATGCAGGAGGTGCCTGGCTGGTGAGCAGAGTTGAGAAGCAGAGTCTGGAAGAAGGCCCTGCAAACCTGGAGCCACCCTGGTCTTTCCCCGGGGGTTTGGCTGAGATGGAGTCCGTGAGACCTGAGGAAGACCAATGGCTCCAGAGCCAGGGGAGACCCCAAAAACTGAGGGAGAAAGTAGCAGTGAAGCAGGAGCCAACTTCCCTTGGGCGTGAGAGTGGAGAAAGTACAGAAGCCAGAGAGAGCCCTGGGCCCAGGGAAGGATTTGTGGAGCTGAAGAGCCATAAGGCAAAGTTCCACCGAAAAGAGACCCTGTGTCCAAACCAAGCCAGTGGGGAGGGACTGAGAGGGAAGCAGGAGGTGGCTACCAAGCCCAGGAACAAAGCCCACCCCTCCCCGGAGTGCCAGAAAATATTTCAGTGCCCCTCACACCAGGCTCTGTCACATGGGTGCCCTGAGTGTAGGAAGAATTTCACCCACTCCTCCCACCTTGCTGTGCACCAGCGCATCCATAAAGTGAAGAAACCACATCAGTGCTCTGAGTGTGGGAAGAGATTCACCCACTCCTCCCATCTGGCACGACACCAGCCCATCCATACCGGGGAGAGGCCATATCAGTGCTCTCTGTGTAGGAAGTGCTTCACCAGCTCATCCTACCTGGATCAGCACCAACGCGTCCACACAGGGGAGAAGCCATATCAGTGCGCTGTGTGTGGGAAGAGCTTCAAACATTCCTCCAATCTGTCACAACACCAACGTATCCACACAGGGGAGAAGCCACATCAGTGCTCTCAGTGTGGGAAGAGATTCAGCCGGACCTCCCACCTGGCCCAGCACCAACGCATCCACACTGGGGAGAAGCCATATCAGTGCTCTCATTGTGGAAAAAGCTTCACCAGTTCATCCGACCTGGCCCATCACCAACTCATCCACACAGGGGAGAAGCCACATCAATGCTCTGCATGTGGGAAGAGCTTCAGCCGTTCCTTTGACCTTGTCATTCACCAGCGTATCCACACAGGTGATAAGCCACATAAGTGTGCTGTGTGTGGGAAGAGCTTTGCTTATTCTTCCACTCTGGCACAACACCAACGTATCCACACAGGGGAGAAGCCACATCAGTGCTCTGTGTGTGGGAAGAGCTTCACCCGGACCTCCCACCTGGCCCAGCACCAATGCATCCACACTGGGGAGAACCCATATCAGTGCTCTCAGTGTGGAAAGAGCTTCACCAGTTTATCTGACCTGGCCCATCACCAGTGCATCCACACAGGGGAGAAGCCACATCGGTGCTCTCAGTGTGGGAAGAGCTTCACCCGGCCCTCCCACCTGGCCCAGCACCAATGCATCCACACTGGGGAGAACCCATATCAGTGCTCTCAGTGTGGAAAGAGCTTCACCAGTTCATCTGACCTGGCCCATCACCAACACATCCACACAGGGGAGAAGCCACATCAATGTTCCGTGTGTGGGAAGAACTTCAGCCGTTACTATAACCTGATCATTCACCAGCGTATCCACACAGGTGATAAGCCACATCAGTGTTCTGTGTGTGGGAAGAGCTTTGCTTACTCCTCCAGTCTGGCACAACACCTACGTATCCACACAGGGGAGAAGCCACATCAGTGCTCTCTGTGTAGGAAGAGCTTCACCCAGATCTCCCACCTGGCCCAGCACCAACGCATCCACATTGGGGAGTAGCCATCACCAGTGCATCCCCACAGATTAGAAGCCATATCAGTGCTCTGTGTGTGGGAAGAGCTTCACCAGTTCGTCCTACCTGGCCCAGCACCAGTGTATTCACAGACAGGAGAAGTGGTGGTAGTGTGGAAAGAGCTTCTCTGAATCCTTCAGCCTAGCCACACATCAGTGTATGCACACACAGGAGAAGCCACATCAGTACTCTGTGTGTGGGAAGAGCTTCACCCAATCCTACAGCCTGACCACACATGAACATTTTCACCCTGGTGAGAAGCCATATCAGCGCCGTTAGTACGGTAAGATCTTCACCCATCCTTCAGCCTGGCCACGCACCAGCCTATGTACACGGGAGTAACCACATCAGTGCCCTTAGTGTGGGAAGACCGTCACTATTTCGTCCCACATGGCCCAACATCCACAGAGGGGAGAAGCCATATTAGTGCTCTGTGTGTGGAAAGAGCTTCACCTAGTCTTCCCAACTGGACCGGCACCAATGCATCTGTGAAGAAATCCTGCTGTGTCTGTCTCCCTGGACTGGGACATTCCAGCCCCACCTCTGTTTTTAAGCACTGGGTGTTTAGATCAACCGGGTCACCTAGGCAACCAGGCTGTAAAAATTCCTGCAGGGAGGGGAGTTTCCTCTCTGTTTCTTCCTGTGGCAGTCATTTTGGGACTCAGACAAGCATAGGCCACCTCAGAGAGACTCTTTGGCTGATTTTACAGTGAGTAGATTTGAAACTTAGCCAGTAGATTAAAACTAAGTCAATAAGCCATGTGTTAAAAAGGCCTCCCCAAGTCCATTTCTGAAAGACTCAATTTATTCTATTTTGCTCAAGGCATTTTCTTTTGAAATGTCTTTGTTCCATATCCCTCCCCCATTCTGTCCCTCTCTGGAAGGGGGATGGCCGGATGTAGGCTCCCCAGGGGAGACTCCCAAAGCGTGGTTTTGGACCTGGCACAGTGATGTGGGTGGGTCTGTGTAGTAATACCCCCTACTGTGCACACCACAGCATCCACACAGGGGAGAGTGCACTGTGGGTCAGGGATGCCTGGGTGAGGGAGATTCCTTACCCTCCATTGAAGCTGACCTCGTGAAGGAACATGTTGACAGGCTGGACACCTTCAAGTCAGCTGGCCCTGACGGTTTACACCCCAGGGTGCTCAAGAAGCTGGCGAGCATCATAGCCCAGCCCCTGGCACGGATCTTCGAGAGCTCCTGGCGCTCTGGTGTAGTGCCTGAAGACTGGAAGAAGGCCAATGTGGTGCCTATCTTCAAGAAAGGGAGGAAAGTGGATCCGGCAAACTACAGGCCCATCAGCCTGACCTCTATCCCCGGGAAGGTCTTAGAAAAAATCATCAAGGAGGCCATTCTTATTGGACTGGCAGATGGTAACACCCTGAGGGATAGGCAGCATGGGTCTGTTGTGGGTAGGTCTTGCTTGACCAATCTCATTTCCTTTTACAACCAGGTGACCTATCAGCTGGACAAGGGGGATGAGATTGATGTCATATATCTTGACTTTAAAAAAGCCTTTGATCTGGTATCCCATGATCACCTCTTGGCAAAACTGGCTAACTGCGGCCTCGACCTCGCCACAATCTGCTCACTGGGGAATTGGCTCCACGGCAGGACCCAGGGGTGGTGGTTGACGTAAGTCAGTCGTCGTGGTGACCAGTGGGTGGGGTCCCTCAAGGCTCTGTCCTAGGGCCTATACTTTTTAACATCATCAAAGATGTAGAATTTGGTGTCAGAAGCGGGCTGGCCAAGTTTGCCGATGACACCAAACTGTGGGGTAAAGCATCCACCCCTGAGGACAGGAGGGTGATCCAGGCAGACCTTGACAGGCTCAGGAAATGGGCGGATGAGAACCTGATGGTGTTCAACACCAAAAAATGCAAGGTTCTCCACCTTGGGAGGAAAAACCCTGCAGCATGCTTATAGGCTCGGCAGCGCTACGCTGGCTAGCACTATGGACGAAAGGGACTTGGGGGTCATCATTGACCACAAGAGGAACATGAGCCTGCAATGCGATGCTGCGGCTAGTAAAGTGAGCAAAATGCTGGCTTGCATCCATAGATGCTTCTCAAGCAAATCCCGGGACGTCATCCTCCCATTGTACTCGGCCTTGGAGTACTGTGTCCAGGTTTGGGCTCTACAATTCAGAAAGGATGTGGAGAAGCTTGAGAGAGTGCAGAGAAGAGCCACGCGCATGATCAGAGGTCAGGAAAACAGACCTTATGATGAGAGGCTGAGAGCTATGGGGCTTTTCAGCCTGGAAAAGCGCAGGCTTAGGGGCGATCTGGTGGCCATCTGTAAGTTTATCGGGGTGCTCACCAGGATCTGGGGGAACGTCTGTTCACCAGAGTGTCCCAAGGGATGACAAGATCGAACAGTCACAAACTCCTCTGCAACTGATTCAGGCTGGACATGAGGAAGAACTTCTTTACTGTTCGAGACCCCAAGGTTTGGAATAGCCTGCTGCCGAAGGTGGTTCAAGCACCCACTTTAAACGCCTTCAGGGCACATTTGGATGTCTATCTTGCTGGGATCCTATGATCCCTGCTGACTTCCTGTCCCCGGGGCAGAGGGCTGGACTCTGATCCTTCGGGGTCCCTTCCAGCCTGAATGTCTATGAAATCTATGAAAAGTCAGTGCTGTATGTATGGAAAATGCTTCACCCATTCCTCCAATCTTGTGCTACACCAGCACATCTCTAAGGGGGACACACTGTATTAGTGTTCTGTATGTGGGAAGAGCAATCCTCCAGCCTGGCCGCTCGCCAGTACATCCACACAGGGGAGAAAGCACATCAGTGCTTGGAATTTGGGAAAGAGATTTAGCCAATCTTCCAAGCTGACCAGACACCTATGCATCCACACAGGGGAGATTCAACATCAGTCTTCTGTGTGTGAGGATAGCTTCTAAGACTCCTCCCGCCTGGCCAAACACCAGTGTATGCACCCGGGAGGATCCATAATTCTGCCAGAAGTGGAGGGAAGGCTTGTAGATGCCTACCTGGTCAGCTCCCACCAGGGGCTGCATTCAGGGAAGCAGCCTCCTGCTGCTGAAGTGTAGAAATATTTCATGCAGCCTTTGGGCCTTGTCGGGTATTGCAGAACCCAAAGGATCCAGTGGCTGGCCCCCAAGGTTTGATTTGGGGAGGGATAATAGGAAACACCTGAGGCAGAGGCCAGCTCAGATACTGGGAGAACCTGCAAGGGGGTGATTTTCATATTGGTCTTGGAGCCTGTGCCTTTCCCACTGTTCTCCAAACGTAGCTGGTCCCCACCAGGGAGAAGAAGCACCTTCCCAATAGGGTGACCTCCCCAAGACAGCTGGCTCCAAATACCCCCAGGGCCTGCCTTTGGCTGTCTCCTGTGCCCATTGAGTCTGAGCCCATGCTGTCAGGTTTTGCTTCTCAGCCTCTCTCCAGTACTCTGTACCCCTGGGTACCTGTTGCTTCCCTTCTCTCCTGCCCTTTACAGCCCTCTGTTATGCAGTCTCTGATCAGAAAGCTCCAGCACCGAACATGGTATCCCTGTGGCTGGGCTTGTGCCCTCTCCAGAGCTGTGAGTCAGGAACCAACCAAGACCCAGAACCCTTTCACAGGCAGATCTCCCTGTCAGTTCCCATCCCCTTCCCTTTGCCAAGGATTCACTGTGATCCAGGGGCTGTTGCAAACCCTCGGGCACAGGAGTCAGTAACACTTGAGGCCTTCCACGTATTGCTGTGCAGCAAGTACCCTGCCCTTTGGAAGAAGCCTGCGGCCAGGGGAGAGTAGAGTGCCTTTTCTGGGGGAAAAGGGGGAAGGAGGTGCAACCTGTGGCAGGTCCTGCCTCTCTTGTGGAAGGGTGGGAAGAGTATGAGGACATCCTTTGGGTGAAACACAGCATGTTGTCACTTGGGGAATGCTCCCTGATCACTTGTATCCCAATACACGGTGGCTCTTGTGGAAGAGCTTGCTTTGACTTCTTTTGTACTTGTCCAGATAAAATGCAAGATGCCAGGCACATCCTAGTTGTAACACCCTGAGATCCTACTCCAGCTTTGTCAGTGCCACACCCTCAAACATCCTTGTGTGGGAGCAGAGAGACGTGTCCCTCTGGGGCACCAGGACCAGAGGCAAGGTAGAAACACATGGGTGCAAGTACACACTAGACCAGGGGTGGGAAAATGCAGCCCGCCAGGCCATTCTGTCCAGCCCGCGGGGCCCCTAAAAAATTTAGAAAATTAACATTTATCTGCCCTGGTCTGCCTGCCACACGGCCCTTGATGGCTTGCCGAAACTCAGTAAGTGGCCCTCTGCCCAAATTAATTGCCCACCCCTGCACTAGACTCATGCCCCTTTCTCCTTTTGGTCCAGGGAAGCTTACTGCCTCTCTTGTCCAAGGCCAAATGCCCTCCAGGTTCTGTGTGGACCTCGGCATTACCCTGAAGCTGGGTTTGCAGGGATGGATCCCCTATGAGCCCAACCCATGTTAAAGATAAAGAAATGGGGGTGTTTATCAATCCATGCCTCAAAAAAGCAACTAAAAAAAAAAAGGCAAGCCCAATTCCGTTTATTTTGTACACGTGGCCAGTGTATATTTATTGCATGATTCACTTGTTCATTACGTGACAGTTACTTCACATATGTGACTGGGCTACATTTATTGTGCAATTCACCTGTTGCATGAAAATTATTTGGCACATATGGCCAAGCAACATTTATTGCACAATTCATCAGTTCATTGCATGACAATTCCTTTGTATGTGTGGCTTGGGGTACATTTATTGCATGAATCACCTGTACATGAGTCACCTGTTCATTGCATGACAATTACCTTGCATGTGTGGGCAATCTACATTTATTGCACGATTCACCTATTCATTGCATGATGATTGCTTTATACATATGGATGGGCTACATTTATTGCGTGATTCACCAGTGAGTTGTAAAATATACGTAGCGGGTAGTGGGTGCCTAGAACTCGCACTCCACTGATTTCAGCGTTTTAGCTCAGTCAGTCATCAGGTCATCCAGGGGTCCGTGGAGCCTGCTGCTTCCAAGGTGTTTTGTGGCACCTTGGCTTAATTACAATTAAGCATGACCAAAACTTCGACACATGTCTGCGTGCGCGTGTGTGTATGTCTCTGCTTGCTGGGACCAGGGCTGTGAGCATGTGTCTGTGTGCATGGACGGTCCCTGAGCTGTGAGGTGGGAACAGGTGCTGGGGATTTGGCCCTGTACCCCTGCAGTTAGGGGAGGGTAGGGGGTCTCTTGGTGGGGATTGAGGGGTGTGGCCCAAATGCCTGGGTTCTGTCTGTGCGTGTATTATGGGTTTCTGTCAGAGGGGCATAGTATACAGATGAATGCCTGGATGTCCCGTGTCTTATGGGTCTGCCGTTATGAGCTGGAGCCTCTTTGCCCTGAACAATTAACCAATGATCAGAGCCCAGTTCTCACCTGCCACGTCTTGATGGAACTTATAACTTGGGAGATGTTGCTCTGTTGAAGGTTAATCATTAGGGCATCCGGCTTGCTCCTACTGGGGCTCCAACCTCCCCTTATACCCCAGCTGAATACCAACCAGTTCTTTATATGCAATTGATAGTTGCTGCCTATGTCAAATTAATTTTCTCCTCCTAAAAATAGTTTCTGTATCCTGTTCTCCTCCAGGTTACGTCCAGCGCACCAGGCCTGTCACAGTTTCTGCAGGAAAGCAATCTGCCTCACTGGAGATAAGGTGAAGCGGCACCTTGAGTGACCGGCATCAAGTAAGTATTTACCTTTCGGGAATTCACAGTTTTATATATTTTTCCCTATATATTTTCTTTCCCCCTGCCTGCTTTCTGCTTGGGGTCTCATGATTTACCTGTCACATTCCCCTGGGTTTTAATTTTAAAAAATCTCTCAGTCAATCAGCATAGTCCGTGCCACTACTTATAGTCAGTTAGGTACTTAAGGTCTGATTCCCTTCTTCCTATGCAAGGCAAGACCAGCCTTTTCCCACTGTCTTAGTCCTCTTTTTTTTAATTAAATAAACCCAAAGTCCCAAAAGGAAGAAAACAAATAAAGAACTTTCCTCCCTGTCTGGTGCCCTGCGATTAATTCTTTGTTTCCGGGTTCCAGGCTCTCGGGGTGCCCGCTGACATCAGTTTGTGGCCGTGCGGACGGGCATGGTGGAGCATATCAAGTGAGGAACCACCCAGCAGCCTTTTGTACTGCTCGTCCTCTCCTCCTCTTCTCGTGTCCTGCCTGAGACAGTCCTGGGGTGCCCTGCTCTGTCAACCCCTCTGAGGTATCCAAGCTCCTCTGAGCTCCAAGATCAGTATCCGACCTTTGCCCCATTCCCAGGGTGAATCTGCCAAGCTCTAGGGAAAAGTTTTCACGCTCTCCTTCTCCCTTTCCTCAGACAAGCTTCCTGCCTGGGTAGATTCCTCCCCAGAAATAGGGAGGTGACTGTGTGGGTCACCAATATGAATAATGCGGTGGCTAGAAAGACATCGTTTCAGACATCGCTGCAATGGCGGTCTTGACGTCGCGGTTACTTCTGCCCGCGCCAGTAAGTTTTATGCCACCGGGCGAGCCACTCTGTCAATTCCTTCTGGAAAGGACAGCCCGCATGGCCCTATCAGAGGGGTCTGTCTGAAGAATAAAAGGCTGTTTAAAATAGGTTGCTTTAACACGGCCTCTTGACATAAAGCTGATTTAGTCCTTTCGAGGGCCTGCATACATGTGTCATCCCGCCTTAGTAGGCCTTTATCTTTACCCTGTAGTAGATCCATCAAGGGTGCTGTTATCTCTGCAAACCGAGGAATAAAATGGCGGTAATATCCCGTGAGGCCTAGAAAAGCCCTCAATTGTTTATGAGTTCAGGGAGGAAAATAATGATGTAAAGCCTTCACCTTGCCAGCTAAAGGGCGAATATGCCCTTGCCCCACCAAGAATCCAAATGTCAGCCTTCCCTGGTACACATTTTTTGGGATTGACAGGGAAGCCGGCATGTCACAACTTCTACAAGACTGCTTGGAAGGCCTCCAGGTGGTGATCCCAGCAATTCAAGTACATAATAATGTGATCTAGATAGACAGCAGCATACGTTTGGTGCAGCACCAACATCCAGTGGATCAGTCGTTGCAAAGTTGCTGCTGTTCCATGCAACCCAAACGGTGTACGCCTGAATTCATATAAGCCCCAGGGAGTCCCAAAGGCAGTTTTGGCCTTGTCTTCTTCTCTCAAAGGAACCCGCCAATAGCCTTGGCTAAGTCTGAAGTCGAAATAAACCTAGCTTGACCCACTCTCTCTAGCAACTCACTAACCTGAGGCATAGGGAAGGCATTGAAGTGGAATATTTCGTTAAATTTTCTAAACTCTACACATAATCTTAACAATCCATCAGGTTTAGGTACCGCCACAATGGGGCTATGCCATGGGCTCCAAGACTCCTGGATTATAGCTTGCTCTAACATTTTAGCAAGCTCTGCCTGTATAATGTGACATCTATGGTAGGGAATCCTCCTCCGTTTTTTCACATTACCTCTCTTTCTGGTGTTATAATACTGTGAACTATGACCCTGGCACAACCTGGTATTTCATTGAAAATATCTTGGAATTGACCAGACATTTTAGCTGACACTGTTGTTGCTCATTCATAAAGGACCCCAAGGGAACTTCTGTCAAGGTTATTTTCCTGCCTTTGGTAACAACCATGTCCCATCCCAAATCGTCTTTCTCAGGGTTAGTAACCCCTCCTGTTCCTGCCATATTTTAAGCAAATCAATACGATATATTTGCTTTTCCTCCTTATGTCCAGAGTGAGAAACTTCGTAACCCACAGGCCCAACCTTTCTAACTATTTCAAACGGACCCTGCCAACAGGTAAGAAACTTATTCGTAGTGCTAGGGAGTAAAACTAGTACCTTTTGCCCTACTTGTAACTCTCTCCTTTGAGCCCCTTTGTCATATGGACGTTTCCGGTCTTCCCGAGCCTGCTGCAAATGCTCACATGACACCTCACTCACTGCCTGTAAACCATGTCTAAGATCTCGCACGTACTCAGTAGTGTCCGTGCCTTCTGATGTCCCCTCCTCCCAACTTTCCTGTACCAGGAAAGTTTCCTGAACACCATTTTGAATGGGGCAAAACCCAGCGAGGACTGGGGAGCTTCCCTAATTGAAAATACCAATGGTGGCACCAATAGCTCCCACTTGCAGGGTTCCTCTTCTACACAACGACGCAACATATTTTTGAGGTACCATTAAATCACTCTACCACCCCATTCATTTGGAGGTGATATACTGTTGTACGCAGGTGTCAGATTTTAACCACTCGACACAGACTCTGTAAGACACTACATGTAAAATTTGAAGCCGGATCAGTAATTATTTCTTTGAGAATTTCTACCCACGTTATCCATTTAAGAAGTTCCTCTGCTACACGAGGACCTGTGACCAACCACATGGGAACTGTTGGGGAAATGGGTGGCATAATCTATTATAACCAGC